CCCGGTTCCGGCGTTGGAAGGCGCTGCTCCCCTTCTCCTTCCCACCCCTTGTGCGCTCGGGTGATGCAGAGCTGGAGCAGGACACGTCTCCGGGCTGCCACGGCGGCACCGGGGTGTTTCTAACTCCCTTAGTACTGTTTACAATGCTTTCTACTCAAAGGGGGGTTTTTGAGCAATAATGCTGCCTTGTTTAATTTTTGTTTCGTTTTGACAGGAGATTTAAGTGGCTCTGCGTTGCCTTTGTTGAACTCCCCTAGGTAACGTAGCACCGGCGGGTTCTCAGCTGGGAATAATGGCATTACACAAAAAGGGCAACAAAGCCTAGTATAACTTGGTGCAATTATTTAAGATCTTTTCTTCCAAAGTGTTCTTGAACAACACTGTTGCCTTTCTCTCCTAACTTGCAGATTTTTAATCAGAAATATTCTTTTAATAAAAGTGTTGCCCAGAAGTGCCAGATTCCTCTTGGAATGCTGTCATGCAATAAATGCTCACTCATCCACCAATGCTGCAACCAGACTCTAGAATTTCTCTTCAGAGATGTTCCATGAGGAACCTCAGTTCTGTGAGGAAGTCCTAGGCTAAAACAAAAAGCCCTCCTCCAAATATAACCAGTTTTGGCCACAACTCAGAATAATAATATTATTATTATTAGTTGTAATCAACAATCTTACAGATCCTTTCCAAGCAAAACAATCCTGTGATTCTATTATCTAAAGAAAACATTCTGCAAGTTAGTGTAGTGTGTCTTAAACCCAATCTAACATCTTCCCTTTCTCAGCTGCTTCCTGTTCTCTTTCTTCCCTTTCCTCTGCTGTTCCTCAACCCCATATTTTAGTGATCAAATCCTGCCCCTCTTTTTAAGACTATTCTGTTATGTCTTTAATGTTATATAGAAAAAAAGCTCACAATATTCTTGCTGGAATGTAGCATCATGTGCTCCCAAGAAGGGTAACGAAGCTGGGGAAGGGTCTAGAGTGAAGGTCTAGAGTTATCTATGTGAAGCTCACTGAAATGTGGTTTTTAGAGCTGAAGTCACATGCAACAACAATAAATCCTGGTGGCTTCCTGTTTGTTTTTAAGTCTGCCACGTGGTTACCTTTAAATCCTGTGGCTTGGAGTGATGCGTCCAGCTAGCAGCAGCAGCTTTTCAGCAGAGACCTTTGCATGACTTCAGGTGCTTAACCGGCTGGTTTTGGCGCTTCATTGTATCAGTCAGCCGTGTTTCAAAGCCCTCTCTAAACACTCCTCAGCGCTGAAGGTGATGCTATCAAAGTCTGCGTGAGGGTCCGGCCCCCTGCCGAGGCACCGGCGCTCTCCGAGGGAGACCCAGCCCTGTGCCTGTCTGTCCTCTCCTCCAACACCATCCGCCTGCATTCCAAGCCCGAGGCGAAGATCTTCACTTTTGATTATGTTGCAAATATGGAAACGACACAGGTAACAGCTTCCAGAGTTTTCTAACAGCCTTGCAGTTTTTCCCCAGATTTTGGCACCTGTCACAATAAAGCTTTCTAAAGATGAAACGCCCTTTGCAGGGGTCAGTTGGTAACATGTGTAGTACAGAAACATTGCACTAAATTCTGCTTTCTAATAGCTTAAATGATAACTTTCTAATAGCTTAAACACTTAACATTTAAACTAATAAACATTTAATAATTTCTTTAATTGAAGCTTGCATTAAAATTGACTTTTCTATTTGTGTTATTACCATAACACCATAGACAGAAAATAATCCCACCTGTTGGGACAAAAATACCAAACTAGCTACCAACTGCCAGCTGATATTAAAGATGTGATTTATATATTAAGAACTTAGAAGTTTATGCTCTATTTGTTCTATTTTCTTCTTACATATTTGCTTTTTAAACGGACACACTGTTCAACTGGGACAGGCAATACTGGAAGGAAAATCCTTCAGTGTAATTTTTATAATAATATAGATTTCTCCATATATTTGAAAGCTGTTACTATGATGTGGAGTTATTTTTTTTGTTCAGCTTATTGAGGAATAAGTGTTTTTCAGAGGGAGTGATTTCTCTCACAGACTTAGGATATATTCTTTTGCTGTGAGAACCCCAGGGGTCGTTATACGTGTCTCACCTTAAGGAATGCATTTATTTTATACATTATAAAATTATAGCATAGAAAACAGTGATAGAAGAGATACTTAAATAAGTGTTGCTAAGTGCCTTCTCTCTCCCTTGTCCCCAGGAGTCGGTGTTCTCAAGTGTGGCCAAAAATATTGTTGAATCTTGTATGAATGGCTACAACGGAACCATCTTTGCATAGTAAGTCCTTCAGCAGCATTTCACAGCAATTGCAACACCTCAGGAGATGGTGGCAACGACCAGTTGTGGCTTTAGCATTACAGTGAACTTTCAAAGTGCTTCCCTTGTACAGCACGGTTAATATTTGTCTAAAACCCAGAAGTTTTATTGTACTGTTAAGAGAAAGCTCATTTCTTTCAGAAAGTCCATAGCAAAATGGAATGAAAATTGCTTTAACTTGATGTTCAGTCCAGCTCAACTCCACAGTGAGTCTTAGCTGCCTGTGGGGAAACTTGTGAATGATGATGGTGATTTCCAGAATGTTTTTGAGGTAGAAATATATCCATGATTAGTAGTGTGAATATCATCATTTTAACTCAATAGTGTTTTTTTTTTCATTTTGTAAACTGAGTAAGCACTTTGGCAAAAAAAAACCTACCTGGAAAGGCTGATCTAATCAAAACCTGCCCAGGCCTTTCAGGCTAGCACAGCATTTGCAGAACTGTGAAGCCAAGTCTGCTTTGGTACAACATACAAAGGTGGGAAAATGAAGGGAAATTGCTCTGAAATTTCTTTAGTGTGGTTAAAAACTATGGGGGGGGAAAAAAAAGGATATATTCAACTTTAAAGTATTTTTCTCATTTTGGGTTTATGTGCACTACTGAGTGACAAAAAACCCAAAAGACTGATCCCAAAATTACTTAATGGATATATCTCAACGCCTTCGTTTTCATACCAAGTTTCATTATTGCCCTTTCCAAGAGAAATAAAGAAGAAATCGGAGTGGGGGAAGAAAAGGTGATTTCCATAACAATTTAATGGTCAAATTTTTTGTCCTGTTTTTATACCCTCTTAGCTCACTTGCCTCTGTCTCTATGTTCAGTTTAGAATAAGTTTTTTTCTTTAAAGTTAAGCTGTGACCTAAAAGATGTAGTTAGTAAAAAATTCAGAGCCAGAATAAAACTTTCTCTGACCTTTTGGTTCTGGTTTTTTTGTTTTATTTTTTAGTGGCCAAACTGGATCAGGAAAAACCTTTACTATGATGGGTAAGTGCATGAGACAGCCTTAGGCTTTCAGTAGCTTAATGCTTTTTTGTCTTGAGTTGAAATGTTGTTTTGCCATTACTGAAATAACAAACAGCAGTTTGGCTGACCTGTTTTCAAGGATTAGGTAGAAATTAAGTGTGGGCAGAAATGCACCCCAGCTTTCTGGTTCCTCAGGTCAGGGTTAAGGGAGCTGTGTTGTCACACCTGCTGTGTCCACATTTGCTGGGGAAGGCTGAGTAGTTTATACTGTTTTAGATGTAGATAATCTATGGATGGGTGAAATCACTCACAAGCATCATTTAGACTCCATACAAATCAGATTATGGAATATTATCTCAGATCTTGAAAGCTGATTTTATTGCATTTCTTCTGTGGTGTTGCCACAAACGGTCTAAAACATGGTTGCTGAAATCTTCTGTAATGGCCTGTAGAAAAGGTCAACCATTGCTCCAGGAAAACGAATGAATATTTTTCATTAAAAATCTCTTTAGGACCAGCTGACTCTGATAACTTCACTCACAGCCTGAGAGGTGTCATCCCACGGAGCTTCGAGTACTTATTTTTTCTAATTGAACGTGAAAAAGAAAAGGTACTTTTGTGTTATACTCATCACTGCAGTGAAAGTCAGGTCTCCCCAAAAGATGTGTGGTAAGCTGGGTGTGTAGCAGTTAAATTTCCAGGATTGTTGCCATAACTGATCTGTTTATAGGGTAAATCATTGTTTTTTCAGGCTGGCAGTGGAAAGAGCTTTCTCTGCAAATGCTCGTTTATTGAAATCTACAATGAACAGATATTTGACTTGCTAGATTCTGCTTCAGCTGGACTCTTCCTCAGAGAACACATCAAGAAGGGAGTCTTTGTGGATGGTGCTGTTGAACAGGTGTTGTCATCTGCTGCTGAAGCATACCAGGTATTTTTGTCACGTTTAAATGTTTAGACTATTTATCTTGGTACTTATTTAGTAAATATTCCTCTGATTAAAGCATATACTTCTTGCACAATGTCTGACATGTTCTTTCCCTGTCTCCACCCTGACTATCCCACACAAAGAATCATAGGGCCTTTAACTGTGGAAAAGACCTTTAAACACATAAGAAATCATATAGTTCTGAAGTCTGGAATACATGAACTGCCATTACACTGATCTTGCCCTAATGCTCACCCTACACATCTCTGAAGGAGCAACAGAAGACTCATCTCCTGCTAATTAGGCAGCATGTGTGTGTTCCAGAAAGGGTCAGGCTTATCCAGGAATGAGGTGGATACACATGGTAATTCTGTGACTTTAAATACTTTTTATCCTTGGGTATCACTAACATACAGCAGTCTTGGGAATGTTACAGTTTGAACAGCAATGGCACTCTTGGACAGAAATGAATATTGTAATTAGTGGTTTTATTAAGCTTGACTGTAGCTGTATTTTTTCACTTTTAAAATACTTCTATTAGAAAAAAAGTGGAAAAAAAAAAAAAGCTTGAGCTTTTTGAAGGCTATTGCACTGACATAGGCTTAAGAGTGTTTGTCATCTGTATGTAAATACTGCCTACAGTTTGAGCTACTTGATGTCTTTGTCCTGCTTAGGTCCTGACTATGGGCTGGAAAAACCGTCGTGTGGCGTCCACCTCGATGAACAGAGAGTCCTCAAGGTCACATGCAGTCTTCACCCTCACCGTGGAGTCCATGGAGAAGATCAATGAGCTGGTGAACATTCGCTCCTCCCTGCTCAACCTGGTGGACTTGGCCGGGTCGGAGCGGCAGAAGGACACCCACACCGAGGGGCTGAGGCTGAAGGTCGGTCCTGCCGGACCTGTGAGTCCTTCTCCTGCCCTGTTCCAACAGCAGCTCTGCTCATCCCCTGTTGTTGTGGGTTTTTTAGGAGGCAGGTAACATCAATCGGTCGCTCAGCTGCCTGGGCAAGGTCATCACAGCCCTGGTGGACGTGGGCAATGGGAAGCAGAGGCACGTCTGCTACCGGGACTCCAAGCTCACCTTCCTGCTG